TGCCACCCCGCCGTCCCTGAGGAAGGCCGGGAGGCCTTGGCCTAGAGCAGCTCCTCCAGGTGGCCTGTCTAAAGTTTACCTCTTAGTCTTGCTGAGGTCATCGGGCTGAGGGTCTGCTTTGGGAACCTTGGCTGGAAGATAAATGTTTGTAGTTACAGTGTGGCATTTGAGAGTGAATCCTCTGAAGATCACAAGCAGGTGAATTGTTTTTGAATAGGTGTGGGGAAAGCCCCCCCTCCTTTGAATAAATGCTGTATGTTTTCCTTACAGCATGGTTGAAACTTTGTCCTGCTCTGGCTGCTCAATGATACTTGGCAATATCTACAGGTGCACACCAAAGCATCTTGACTACAAGAGAGACTTGTTCTGCTTCAGTGTTGACTCCATTGAAAGGTAAAGGTAGCATTTTTAGGGATGCCTCTAGGTATCATTTATATGGATTGCTGCTGTTAGTTTTACTGGAATATCTAGAGGTAGTTATCTCTTTCCAGGGTAATTTTTTGTGTTACTGCTGCCAGCATCGTACTGTCATAGAAATGTCATCTGTGTAATACTAGAAAAAACATTAGAAAAATAGAAATACCAGGGTCTTCTCTTGTATAAGAAACTGCATACCAAGCACAGAAGTAACACTAGGTAAGCAATATGGGCGTTACTTCTAGTCTGATCAAAAGAGTATGTAGATGCTCTACTCCAGCTGGCATAAAACTACCTTATTCTCTCAAATAGTACTGAATAGGCCTAACTTAAAGCTACTAGAAGTAAGTATTATCAGAAGAAAAGATAGGCACAGGGCCTGAAGTAGAATTTAACCTGTCTAAGTGTGAAAAAAGGTGAAAGTGAATCCTGACACTCATTGTGTAATTGAGGTTCTTAGTATCTGTTCTGCAGTTCTCTTACGGTGCACAAACTTTTTTATACTCGATTGTCTAGAAACTGAAGATGTGCCGTTGTATTGGTTTTATTTGGTTTATTGCACTTGAAGCAGGTCTTAATTCAGGATGAAGTTAGTGAATACTTTAAGTCTACGTACCGGGGTGCTTTTATTGCTCTTACTTTGTTAATGTTTGGATAATTCACCTTTATTTCTCCCTGGGACTAAGTTTAGCATTTCTGCTTTTTATTAAGTTCCAGTGTATTTTGTTGCATCTGTATTGATGTTCTCTTCCCTCTTTCAGGCAATGGTGGGTTTTTGCTTTGCCTCTTCCGTGACAGTAAAGCTCTCTGAAAGATTGTACCATGGTCACAAAATGTCTTTTTGGGGCGTGGGAGGGTAGGCAATAATGGTGATGACTGGTTGTTCCAGCTAGTACAACAGTCTCCTCAATGTTGGAATAACTCTTCACCTTACGCTGTAGCATCAGAACTCATGATTGTCTTTTGGAGTTCCAACTGTTATACAGTGATGGTATCTTAGTAGTTCTGAGCTTAAAATTGCTTTAATTCCATTTTATAGTTTGTTTGCAAGATTCTAAGTATGGATTTTGTTGCTGAATCATGCTCTTGCTTTGGTAACCTTTTAATCATAGTCTTGTAATCACTGAGAACAATGAATGAGTTATGTTTGTTTTTGCATTCAGAGCAGAAAGTGCATGATCTAAACTGTAGCATATCAGTTACGTTCTAGGATCCTCGGAAAAGCAAGCTCTTATTGATGAGGAGCCTGTAACTCTTGAGAGTCGAGCTGTTTTGGAAGAAGCACTAGAAAGGGTAAGGTTTAATCTTACATCGCTTGTTGTGTACCTCAGATGAATCTTCATATCCTTAGTTTCTACAAAACAAGCTATAGTCTCAATTGGACCCAATTCTGTGCATTTTTACTGTACTCTGTGACACTCATGCTGTTAGTATTTTGTGTTAGGTAAGACTTTGATTATAATTTTAAGAAGCATTTCTATTTGTCAAATACAGCTATAGATTCCTATCTCTGTCAGAAGTCTGAACCATTGCTTGCCTCTTGTAGCTTTATTTTGCTTCTCCAGTCTTTTTTTAAAGACTGATTTAATCAAATTTTTTCTGTAGAATCCTATCCTTCATGTAAACGGATTCACTGCTTTTGCTGCTGTTTTGTATTGAAGTATTGCATAATAAATATGAGTGGATACTTTCCTCTAGAAGTCTCCTGACTGTGGATAGGGAGAGCTGAGAGCACATACGATAACCAGATTAGCCCTGAAAGCTGCCATTTGTATAGCAGAAGCTGAATGTGTGGAATTCTTGCCTCAAAGTGAGAGGACAGCTATAGCAGACTCTAGAGAGTGCTGAGAGGTCATATTAGAATTGACTGAACTTTTAGACTGTGCAGATAGTGGGAAAAGAATCCAATAGGATTGATAACACATGATTGACTTCTAGCATACATGTCAGTAAGTGCTTGCTCTTTGTTTTGTGAAGTACCAAGTATCTTTCTTTATTTACTTTATAGGCAGACACCATACTAAAGGCACTGGAGGCGAGGCTGACTGTAGTTGAATCAAGTTTTGCTTCTCTTCATAATAATGTCTGAAAAACTTCTGCATCTAAATTAACTGCTGGAGAATGATGTAATGAATCTTGCACCTGTAATCCTCTGGAATCTACAGGAACATTGTGAAAGCCGTGCAAAGAGCTAAGACTCAGGTGGCTCATACTGCAATAGAGCAAGCCTGACTGAAAGTCTTCACCATAGGCAAGAAGTTGCTCTCCCCTGATAAGAGTACCCCAGAAAGGGAAATAGGGGGTTTTGTCTCTTTTTTTTTTAAACTGCTTTGTGAAGACTTTCTGTTTATATGTAAATATTTAAACTTTTATGTGAAAGCAAAATATTTCTCTCCTGGTTTCCTAGCTATCCAATGTTCACTGAACTGGGTTTGCTTATCTTCCCTAAGGCAATAAAAACCTGTGACTTTTGTTGAAGAAGCAACGTAAGTCTCTTCTGCCATCTTATCTTCACAGCCTTTTCTTCCTGGACAAGAACAACACAACTGCTTTCTGCCAGCTCAAAGCTAAAATGTATAATTGTAAAGAAGATTATATGCATAACAGAGCTTCAAGAGGAGGAAAATAAACAAGACTGATAGCTGTACACCTTTAAGCAAAGCTTGGTGTATGTTTAAATGATGAACTGAAAACATAAATTAAGAACACTTGTCAAAATTTTGTTTCAGTGTAGATATCTATTTGATTTGGATCTACTAAATCTGTATTTGTCTAACTATCAGGATTTCCTAAATGTATATGTTGCAAGTGATTTTTTTCAATAAAACAAGGAAAACAATAGTCTAAGGTGAGAATCATTTTGAAAAGGGTTTTTTCTATTACTAAACATGATTTAATTTTACTCTTGAGTTCTTAAGTTTGGTCCTAAAACCTGTAATGTGTTTTCCCTT